CTTGCGTAGTAAAATATGGAGCGAAGGGATTGATATGAAGCGATCGTGGTGCTGAGTATACCCTCGTCATCCGGGCAGTTGATTAGGGCGGTCGTCAACGGGCCGCAGCGCGTGCCAGGAACTATTTGCTTTTTCCAGGCTAATTTAGTCATTTTTTCCAACTTTTCACTGTTTTGGCTACTTTTTCCCAGATTAGCAGCTCCTTATCTTCACAAGGTGGAAAAAATGACTAAATTAGCCTGGAAAAGCAAATAGTTCCTGGCACGCGCTGCGGCCCGTTGACGACCGCCCTAATCAACTGCCCGGATGACGAGGTTATGTATACGTATATACTCATATACGTACAATATGAGTGCATTTGTACATGCAGCCCTATCTACCGTATTGGCACGGCGCCAAAGGGAAACTCTTTCGCTTCTTGAGTCACTAGGAACGAAGACTTGTCTTTATCGGTTTTCGACCGTTCCACTTCGTTTTTTCGCCATTTTCCCCACTATATAGCACCCTGCAACCATTTCAGACCGAGTTCCAAATTATCGTGTCATATGCCTTTAAACGGCAACAAAATTATTTTGCTTTGCTAAATGACTGCTACTGATGCTTACTTTCCAAAGGTATCCAGGGAAAGCAGAACGACTCGTGGGCTAGCGGTATCACCATGCTAGCAATCTCACATGACAAGCACAGAAAATCGCTTCACGACGCTGCAGGCAACATGCGCGGTGATTAACGATGTGAGTCGTTGTCGTATCAGCTACATTCCTTGTCCCTGGGATGCGGTAGGCGTGGCTGCCTACTCCATTCGTCCATGGCGTGGGATGGGCTAGTCGTGGAATATTTCCACCGGAGACAACTGTCACCTTTTCCTGTAGTGAGCAAAGACTTGTTCACAAACGTCCCAATTTGAAAATATCTTTACCAAAGGCGCAGTCGCCGCCATGTTCAAATAAAGTACGCAGCCACGCCTTCCCCGCTTCCTGGATAAGGAGTATATATAGGCAGCCTAGGTGCGAGTCAGGCGTTCTACCATCATTGTCACGCACTGTCCTTTGACAAAGGGGGTCCACTCTTTATGATTTCGGACATGGTTACCAACGGCAGGAGGGCATTTTGCGAAGCATTTTTAGTCGTGCCTCTAATCAAAAATCGAAAAATCGAAACAAGCAGTAAACTAAAGCTTGAACTCACCTTGTAGCAGCTTGCATTGTGTGCCCTCCAGTACACTTCATCGTGGGGTTCTTCCTCATAATCGTTCTTCCATGGAACGACGTCACCGGCCTTTTGCAGAGCATCGGACATCTCCCTGAATTGCTGAAGGGCTTATTACTATTACAATATTTTTCTTCTTCTCTATTTTACATATTATAAAAACCCATTCCGTAATGGTAGTGGGTGTCCGAATAGGAATTCCTACACAGACTTGACTAAGCTTTTAGAAAATGAGTGAACAAAACAACAGAAAACGCCGGGAATAAGACCCCCGATTTGGAGTGAGATTGGAAATTGGGACAATCTCTCGACTTAGTGATCGCTTCTACCAACCAGGTTATAGCGGGATGTACCTTCGATAACCACCGGCAAAGAAACCTTCCATATCTACACAGACCTTTGAAATTTTAACTGGACTGATTACAAATCAGGATTGCGCATGAGATCCTTGACGTATCCCTCGAAACGGCTAAAAATGCTGAAGGGTTCTTCAGCTCTACGCAATTATTTTAGGTCCTCAACATAGACTATGCTTATCCGGAAAGACCTGGACATGCCCTCCATTGGAAATTTCTTTAAATACGCTCCTTCCCCGTCAGAATTGCCTTTTCTGGTTCGACGCTAACGACTTCATATCCCAGTTCTCACAGAAAAACTGAGCCTCGTCCACCGAGACGCTTTTTCCTAAAAGTCAAATGCAAGCATCTCCCCAACCGCCAAGTAACGACACCCTCTCTGTGGATTCCCAACGCACGAAATGACATGGTTTTGGTTAGAACCTGAGTAGTGAGAAGGCGAGAGACTCACCTTAACTAGCGCATGATTTCTCGATCAGCTGTAGTATCAGGTCACATAGGGGGCCATATGAACATTTCATCCCTCTAGGACGTTCTAGCAGCCATGGACTTGAGCGAGCTCATAAATCCTAAGGTCTATACAGCTGGCTCTGCAACTGTATGAGGGCAGACGTGCAAGAGAATCGTAAATTGCCGCTTCGCCGCGCGCGCGGGCGATTTACGGCGAGTATTCATTACAATTCGTGTTAGTCCTGTCGACTGGAGGCATCGCTGGGATCTGTCCACATGTGCCAGGAAACTATAGACAGTATGACACATGTCCAGGAAACTATAGACAGTATGACTATTTTCTGCTCTACAGTGCCAGTCGTCGCCATCTACAACGTTGAAACGGCCGTCCTTTGGTGGCCCGAACGGTCGGCACGCGAAACGCCATCAGCGCGGCAAATTACCGATCTTCCCTTCTCTCTCACTCTCGGTGGGATTCTCTTGTCACGCATCCCTGTATCAGAGGTCGCATTTGAAAGACTTCTATGACTCCATTTAGGAGAAGAATCCGTGGCGCAACCCAAAACTGGCTGAACGGTTGTGTGGAGGGGACCACTTGCCAGCGCCTCCGCATTGCTTCCTTGGCTCAGGCTTAGACTGTCTTCCCTGCGGAACTAACCCTCAGCGACAATGACCGTCTGTGCTCTGAGCCCAAACCTTTTCGGGGAAGAGACTCACAGGCGAGCTGAGCGGTCACCCCTCCCCAACTACGTTAGCGCCTAATTATTTGTTTTGGCGGCTCTTGATGCTACAGTTTTGAGTCAAAATTGGTAACATTACAGCAACACTATAAAAATGTCTCACCTGGGTAGCAAATTTTTCAGTGTTTTCTTCCTTTACCAAATGGAGCTTCGGTTTGACAAGTCGAGGCTCTTCAGGAATCAATATGGGTTTGACAGTGGTAACTTGGTGATGACGGAGGGCAAGTTGTTGAGCGAGAATTTCGAAAATATTCCTTTCATACTGGTTGGTGCCCAGTAAGAAGAGCAGGATATTCAAGGAGAAGCATTGTGGAAGAAACCACAGAGCAGCAAGAAGGCGCATTCCCTGCAAGATACGGTATTATGCGCCACACTAAATCTTCAATCGTTCTGCTTAGGACTGATATTGATGAGTATAGCAGTACTAGTTGAAGTCAACTATCTAATTTTCCAGTTGTTATTGATGGCCCAGTG